TTATTATATTTTATGGTTAACTTTTTTTTCTTTTCAAGATTGACAGGGGAGGCTCTGCCTCACCTGCCTCCCCTGACCGCACGTCACTGCTCCTCACCAACTCTCAGCATAACCCAGTCCAGGTGAACAGCAGCATAACCTGCAGCCTCCACAGTGACCAGCAGGTGAACCGACAGCTCTGTGACGCTGTTTTACTGCAGCACTAACTCAGTCTGACACAGGGGTTCCTAATAAACTGGCCACTGAGTGTGTGTACAGAGAACTGTCACATCTGTACATTCACACATCAGGACTTACACAGGTAATTACATGTAAGCACCATATGTTGTGGGTAAGTACTGTAGATAATTGTTGTTGTACTGACAATCTCTCTCTCACACACACACACACACACACACACACACACACACACACAGAGCTGTGGTGTTATAAAAGCTGCTGCAAACACTGTGTTTCTGTCTCTGCTGGACCACGACAACTCGGCACACTGACGAGGTATGAGCACACATGGCAGGAGAACCTGGGGACAGAGGTCAGGTGTTATCTGATGGAAAACTGAAGTGAAAACAACCAGTTTCTACTGTTTTACATCGCATCACGTGACCTGTACGTCACCATACATCAATATGACTTACTGAATCACTGGCAAGCAGCGGTGGAAAAACTTTTACCTGCCTATATGCAGAGTGATGGCGCAGCCAGGTGAGTGTCTGTAGCCAGGTGAGAGGTGGCACAGCCAGGTCAGTGTCTGTGTAGCCATGTGAGAGGTGGGCAGGCAGATGAATGTCTGTGCAGCCAGGTGAGAGGTGACGCAGCCAGGTGAGAAGTGGAGCAGCCAGCTGAGTGTCTGTGTAGCCAGGTGAGTGTTTGTGTAGTCAGGTGAGAGATGGAGCAGCGAGGTGAGAGGTGGCGCAGCCAGATGAATGTCTGTGCAGCCAGGTGAGTGTTTGTGTAGCCAGGTGAGAGGTGGCGCAGCCAGGTGAGTGTCTGTGCAGAGGATGAGCACCAGTGATGTCAGCAGTCCACACCAACAGCCTCTCTGCAGCTGTGCACATGCATGTGTGGACAGCCAAGGGGTGGGACTAAAGTTGACTGACCCTTGGTTGCCATGGTGACCTTCAGTTCTGTAGAGAGTTGGACCTTTTCTCTTTCTGTCATCCTCCCCTCTCCACCTCCTCTGATTCCTCTCATTCTTCTATTCCTCCCTTGTTCTCCCCCATTTCCCCCATTTTCCCCTTGTCTTTCCCATCCTCCTCTGTCTTCTCCCTTTTCTCCCTGTTCTTCCGTTGTGCTCTCCCTGTTCTCCCCCCATTTCCCCCGTCCTCCTCCTTCCCTCTATTCTTCCTGCTGGTTTCAGTCTTTGCATTATAATTTCTCCCTTTCAGTGCTGCAAGGGCGCTGAGGTAGGCTCCAGCTCGCTTCCTGTTTCACACACTGTGACACTCCGACTGAACTCAGACCATGTTTACACGGAGCTGTTCAATCTGAACATGCATCTTTTAACCACCTCAGCAGACGGAAGGTCTTCCTGATATTCAGCGATTCCACAAAACCTGCTTCATGGTCGGTGTTTTTCTGATGTTTGTGCTTTAGGCTGAACCTGTGTGGTTGCACCTGCACTTCTTTTTTTGAGCAAAACTTTGATATATCATCATCTGTTAAGTTGATATGTTGTGATCAGTCAGTGTCTTATTCGCACATCCAGCAGTTACAGTGCAACCTGACCATGTGTGTCCCTTGATGAGCCTCAGCCCAGTGCTCCCTCTCTGTTCGCTCTAGGTTTGGTCTCCACCACCTGCTCTGGCTCTGGATCTGCTAAATGCTGCGCTGTGTTCCCCAGCTGGTCTCTGACTGGGTCTGTGTGCTGTTTGCTGCCAACAGGTCGTGGACAACGGCTGTTTACAGCAGCGTCTCTGAGAACAGGCTGAGAGTTGGACGTAACTTGTGGCATAAACTGTTGTCACTGGGTGAATGTCAGTACTCTGGTGTTTTAGAAAAGAGTGACTAGTCATGGTTTATGCTGATTCCGTCAGCTCAGGATCACAGCACAGATCAACTTCACTGTTCGGTCATTTATCAACTGAAAGAGGATGAAGAAGAAAAGAGTTTGCTGTTTTTGCTGTTTTTCTGCAGTTCATCATGTTTAGCCCGGTGAGTTTGGACGTAGCTCACTCTGTGTCCTGATTACTGTGAACACAGAAATGATCAGTTCTCTACTGACAAAGTCATGACTCCGTGAAAGACATTCTCCTGGTAACACTTCATCCCCGTTTCTGGTCTTTATGCTAAGCTAAGCTAGCAGTTTGATATATTCCAATCCATCTGCTTTTGTTAGAATTCACCAAAAACCTGAATTCTTCCTTTAATGTAATGTAAGAGGGCCTGAGATTCAAGGTATAAATTAAATCTTGAAATGTTTTGGCCTCTAAAACTGTAGAGACAATCTTTTTATTGACGTGTCAAAAATCTCTCCATCATACAACAAGAGAACTGGGCAGGATGGAGAACAATGGTGTCCTTAAGGTGGAGTGGTGGAGAAGGTGTGGTTAACCTGTTCAGCTCTGGAAGCTGCAGAGCTGGTGTCTCACCTCATGTTCAGTCTGACAGAAACTCTCTCTTCACACCAGTCTGTCTCTACCTGTCTGTCTCCACCAGTATGTCTCCACCCGTCTGTCTCCACCAGTCTGTCTCTACCTGTCTGTCTCCACCAGTATGTCTCCACCCGTCTGTCTCCACCAGTCTGTCTCTGCCTGCCTGTCTCTACCCGTCTGTCTCCACCCGTCTGTCTCTATCTGTCTGTCTCTACCAGTCTGTCTCCACCCGTCTGTCTCTACCAGTCTGTCTCTACCCATCTGTATCCACCAGTCTGTCTCTACCCGTCTGTCTCCACCAGTCTGTCTCTACCTGTCTGTCTCCACCAGTCTGTCTTTACCTGCCTGTCTCTACCCATCTGTCTCTACCCGTCTGTCTCCACCAGTCTGTCCCTACCCATCTGTATCCACCTGTCTGGAAATATTCTTCTCCACCAGTCTGTCACACCTGATCTGCTGAGTCAGCCTCTCTGGACCTGGTGTCATTCAAATCCAGTCTGATCATCACAGCTGTCAGTCTGACCTCTGGCCTTTCACCTCGACCGACACTCATCTGTGAACTGCATTAATTAACCCTTCATTTCCCCTGAAAACCCACAACACCTGAAGCTGGATCAGCCACAGATCCTTCATTTAATCAAACAGGTGACCCTTAATTTATCAGCTACGGGGCAAGTTCAGCAGTTTACCCCGCATTTAAGGTGAATGAAGAGATAAATGGGTGGGTTATAATATATTATAGGTTAACTCCACTCCTGCCAAAACAAATGGTTCATCTGTGAAGGTAGAAACTTGGGTTTCATGTCTCATTTTGGATCCTGTGATGCACATGTTCTGTGAATCTACTGTGTTCTGACCTTCAGCCTCCAGGTTCTGCTGCTTAACTCATCTGCTGATCTCCTCTGACCTCTCAAGGAGCCATGAGCCATCACCTGAACTCTGTGGGTCCTGGTGACGCCTTCGGTCTGTCTGCAGTGAGTCTCAAGCCAATCAGTAATCTGTAATCATTCCAATATTTCTGCTAACCCCCTCAGTGTGAGGGCGTGATGGTGCTATGGCTATGAACCAGGTGAGCAGCAAACAGAGCTGGTTACTGCAGTTGACTAAATTGCTGCTTACATGTTAATGCATCAGTTAAATTTTTCCTTGTACTTGAGCAGAGGATGTGAGTTGTTCTTCCCCCTGACAGATACAGGCTGTGAAACTGTGTCTAGCCCAATCACTGTGAATGTTTGTCAGATGTGATGTGGACGCTTTGTCTCTCCTCCTGCAGTCGCTGACTCCTCCTCCTCCATGTTGCTACCGTGATGAGGAAGAGGAGGACCTGAACAAGGTGTTTGACGTTCAGTGTTTTCAGCAAATTCTTCATCCTGCAACTCGCAGTCCACCAGAGAAACACCAAGTCTACGATGAGCAGGATTTTGAAGGTGAGATGCCAAAACCCACTAGGTTCATCTCAAGGAGGTTCAAGGGTCTTTGTCCAGGTTCATCTTGAAGAGTTTGCTAGATTTGTTAAGAGTTCCAAGGGGTGGGTGGTCCTGGAGATCTTTAGAAAAAAGTTTTAAGGTTATTGAGAAGGTTTGGGTTAGTCAGGACCGACTACGAGTACTGTTTAGGGTGCTCCAGGGTACCAGAGGTACATTAAAAATCACAGGGACATTTAAGGTGCAAGAAGTTTTAGATTGAGGTCAAACATCTTCATCAGGTTGTAAAGTTTCCTGCAGTGGTGCTGCAGTTCTGTCAACTCTTTTGAGTCTGTGCAGCAGCAGTTCCCTCTAAAAAGGTTTCTGAACTTCTGTAGTCTTGTTTAAAGTTCTACAGGGTTGTAGGAGCATCTGAGAATGTTCTACAGGTCCTTGAGGAAGTTGCAGGTGGGCTGAGAAGGTGGTGGTGGTTGGGGGGGTTAAAGAGGTTCTTGTCTCTTTAAAGAGATTTGAGACTATTTGATTTAGCCCAAGAATCTTTAGGAGGTTTGGGAAGGGTTTTCCAGTTGTCCTGGAGAAACACGTTTTTCCGGATGTTCCTGCTGTTCCTGGAGTTATTGTGGGAGTTTAAGGGGTCCATAACAAGGATCTAGGAGATTCAGAGAAGCCGAGGATGACTGACAAGCTTCTAGGAATCCTGAATAAAATTACAGTATTTTAATCCTCAGTAGTTCCTGGGAATGAGTCTCCACATTCAACCAGGGAGATTCTTAATAAGGTTCAAGTGGTTTTTCAAGAACTTTCATACATTCTCATAGTGCATCCAGGTTCTATGAGGAGGTTCTGGTGGTTATAATTGAAGATTACAGGGCCTTTGGAGAAGATCAAGATGGAACAGATCCTTTAACCAGGGGTTCAAAAGTGTCCTCTTGGAATTTATCTTAATACTAATGAATCATTATTTTCCTGTGGCAGACCACCGCTGCTCTTCTGTCCACGTCCATCACCCTCTGTCCAAACCTGGAGCCAACAGCAGGAGGAAGAGGACCAATGAGGGGAGGCAAGGCTTCGTCCCCAGCACTGCAAGCACCATAGAAGAAGACCAGGAGGAAGAGGAGGGTGAGGAAGGATCTCCCACTCCAGCTGAAGAAGAGGAGGGAAGAACGACCTCCTCCTCCAGGTGAGGACCACACAACATCCCCTCTGAACCTTTAAAAGTGTTTTTCCACATCTTAGTCTTAGTTTTAACTTGCAACCCCTCCCCCTCATAGTGACCCACCCACCATCCCGACCAATCACAATGGCTTCCCACCTGGTGACATCATAACAAGTGTTGCCGCAGACGACGAGGCTGAAGCATTGACGTCTTTTGACCTGGACGGCATCAAGAGTCAGTAAACAGCTTGAAAGTACAAAACCTTTAATATAACATCACGTCTTTCACAGTTTGCTCCAGTTTTACTGCAGTAAACCTATAGACAGTATTACAGTATATTATAGTAGTTTAATGTACACTGGTATAGCTTCCCACTGAACAGCAGCTTTACACATACAGGTTTACCTTTGAGTCACCTTTACACCTCAGAACTGACCTGGTGTCAACACGACGGCGGTGGAAACACACCAGCGCACATTTTAATGAACATCTCGGACATTTCTTTCAAACAGTTTGAACAGCAGAGTGGAGCCTACACTTCCCAGTACAGCCAGGAAGGTGGTGGAAATGTTTATAACTGAGGTTGTAGTGGGCGCTGCTTACATTCACAGGTGTTTCTAATGTTTTGCTCTGAATATGAAGCGGTCAGATTATTAGACACACATTTCAGTGTAACGTCAATGGGTCCACTTTGCTCCAGACTGAAATCTTACCAGATGGTTCAGACTCTCCCTCAGGGTGAACCGTTCCTCTAGTGCCACCATCAGGTCAACAGACCACATGAATCACAGATGCATGGGAATGTAATTCTGTGGAGAGGGGACTGGGGCCCCGGGGCGCTGGGTGGACCCGGGCGTCATGTTGACTCGGACTTGTGTTCAGGACAAACTGAAGAATTGTTTCAACATGAAAGACTTTTCTGTTGGCGTTCATCATGTGGCCCCAAGCTGCTGCTGACCTGAACACAATGCTGCCGTCCTACAGCCCTGGCCTACTGCTTCTGTCTATTGTCACTGTGGTGCTGTGTGTGTGTGCGGTCCTGGTCCTGGTTGTGCAGGACTCAGTCAGTCTCTCAGATGAACATGAAGTCGGTCTCTGCTCTGGTCGTGATCACATATGTCAACAGTTTGTTGCTGGACAGACTGAAGGCTGGTCTCAGTGAGTACTCACCTGTTTCTACTCTATTTTACCTGAAGTCACCTGCGTTGTCTGGCGTTACTTTGGCAGGAACTCTGAGGAGGAGACGTAGACCTGCCGCTTAAAGTCCCTCCATTCCCTCTTTGTCTTAGATGTTTGAGCTTCACTGGGCAGAGAGATGGCACATGTAGGCAAATTGAATACTCAAGTGTAAGTACTTGTCTAAAATAGTACTCCACTACAAGTGCAAGTACCTCTTCTCTTTGCTCAAGCTGAAGTACCAAGTGCATGTTCTAACATTTGGATTAAGTAGAAAAGTACTCCACAGTCTGGACCTCAGTCTGACCAAGTTACTGATGAAAAGACCTGCGTGTCAAACAGCTGTGTGTTTTAAAACACATGAATATGCACGTCTTGGCCAGATTAGTGGCACAGTGCCTTTTAAATAATGTTTCGATAGTACATTTAATTAATGCACAGATTCTGCATCAAAACAGAAGGTGACGGGAAGGAGGTCTTCCTGTTTGCTATACACCAGCAGTGGGGGAAGTGCTCAGGTCCTTGACTGAAGTAAAAGTAGAAATACCACAGTGTAAGTACAGTATGCAGTAGGTGTACTTTCTGTAAAACTGCAGAAAGACACTGTTTTTAAATTCTTACGTCAGGACGTGTACCCGTGCGCTGTTTACCCAAACCAGTAAACCCATCAGTGACCACACTGTTGCACTAGCTGACATCTTCCCCATCGCCATGAACACACACTGGGCTTTATTCTGTTACCCAGATTAAACAGCATCCTTTAATAACACACTGGATCATCAGTATTTAGTTTACATTTGCAGGAAAATAATCTAACATCTCCAGTCTTTGATTCACTGTAGTCCCTTTAACTCTGACCGCAGGCAGAGGGCACGGTCAGCTGACCCTCACTGCTCAAACGTGATTGGCAGTTTGTAGTGAATGCTTCTGGCTAAATTAGAAATGATGTGAAAACTCTTGTTTCCGAGGAAATCACATTTTTCCAGAAACCTGACGCTCAGCTGCAGATTACTGCAGAGTGCAAACATCGGTGTGAGTGTGTTCAAGATGATTAGATAATCCAGAGTTTGCATCTCCTATTACTGATTCTTCTCTGGGCTGTTCACTCAAGCCTGAAACTAAGTTAGACTGCAGAAAGTTCCCACGAGACCACAGGGCTTCTGCTCAAGGTAAGAAGGAGGGAACGCAAAGAACGAAGCCAAGACAAAAGAAGGACGGAATATGTTGTTAGTTGCAGACAGCTTTTAACCTGTGACTCCACCCCCTCAGGTCACCGACTGGATGACGTTCCAGCAGTCCGACGTCACCTGGTGAGGCGGAGCTCCAGAGGACCGATTGTGCACATCACCAAAGATCAGCTCAGCAGCCGGACACAGTCACACCCCCATCACCTCCAGCGGGACCAAACGCCTCATGAGGTCAGAGGGCAGAGACCGGGCTTCATTTATAATGTTTGATGATCAGACATAAACTGACACTTTAACTCATTTCAACCACACAAACTGACACCTGATCAACTGCTTTCAGCAGCGCTGGAAAGTAACTTAGTGCATTACCTCCAGTTCTGCATTTACAGTCTACAGCTGTCTGTGTTATTCCCCATAAACCCTGTCCAGAGACCAGCAGTACCAGTGAATCAGTGAACGTGGTGTCTTCACTGTAATATGTGTGACCCTGGTCCAGCTCATTGCTCTGTACCGTAGACCTTCACTGCTGTCCACCAGCCATTAGACCCCCTCCCCCCGCTATTCACCCCCCCCCCCCAAGTGAGACGCACCGCTGCACTGGATGGCAGGTTTCCTCCTCAGGAAACATGGGAGGCTGTCTGTTTCCACAAGTTTACCTGCCTACAGACAGGTGGAGTGAGACAGGTGGATTCAGGTATAGGGAGGTGAAGTCAGAGCTCAGTTCCAGGTGACTCATTCTCCTCTGGTCTTCAGGATGATCCGTTTGGACTTGAAGAGTCGACAAAGAAAGGTACAGGCTGATTTATCCTGGGTTAGTCCTGGTCTCACCTGGTCTGTTTTGCCTGTTTGTCCTGGTTTAACTAAATCAAGTTAGTCTGAGTTTGGATGTGACAAACCAGTTTTCAGTTTTGTGACAATGATGAGGTTTTTTGTGGTAGTTTTTATTTAATGGAGGTAGGAGAATTTTCTCAGCCCCTCAAGAACATTTAATTCTTCAGTTTATCAGAAACGCTCAAAATGAAATCACTAAATTTTGAGAAATGTGATTTTCACTGAACAAGAAGGACATGAAAAACTACAATTTGTATTTAGTAACTGCAGCTGTCAGGTAAATGTCCTGCAGTAAAAGTACAAGATTTACCCCTGAGATGTAGTAGAAGTATGAAATAGCATAAAATGGAACTATTTAAGTAAAGTATGTCAAAGTTGCATTTAAGTGCAGTACTTGAGTACTGGTTTCTAGCCGGAAAACGTATTTAGCTCGATCAGGTTCCACCTGGACTTTCTGATGAAGTGTAGCCCAGTTCGTCCTGAAGTGGAGCCGGAGTCCATTTTCACAGGAGTTGCTTTGACACTGTGCGGGACCCAGTTCACTGTGGCAACAAATTATGACCCTGACAGTTTGTAGATGTGCAGCAACAACACAGACACAGTGCCAGTTCATTAGTTATTAGGAGCAGCTGTCAGTGCCTGTTTGGTTCCTCTGTGCCTGTTCTTACTTTAGCATTGCTGTTTCCACTGCAGAGGAAACTCACTGGAAACTTAAAACTGATGAACTGTTAAAACGTTTCATGTTCCAGTTTCTCCACAGTGAGAATTTGCCGCTTTTCCTTCTTAAAGTCCAGCTCACTGTATCATTTTCAGTTCTGACTGCTGCTCGCTCGGTCAGTTGGTGTCCTGCTGGTCCCTCACTCCTGCCCCAGGCAGGATGTGTGGTTTTTTCCTTTTTCTAATGAAGTGTAAAAGCATTCATTCCTCATCGAAATGTTTCTGCTATCTCAGCAACATCGCTGGGCAAAATTCAGCCACTGATTGATTTGAATTAATGAGTTTATGTAAATGTGAGGAGCTGCTGCATCGTGAGTCATAGTCATGATCACATTCACATAACAACCACTGTGGACAACTATAAGGTTAATGAAGCAACACTGCAGCACAAACACAACAATGCAACACACACAGACATCACATTCCTGCCGGTTTGCAGCACAATATCCTGACTGGAATGTAAAAGCTGTACTGGGCAGGACTGACAGCGGTGAAACCAGGCGACACTTCGGCCTGTGCCAGTGATGAGTGAACAGTACAGAGGAGGGTTTTGTATCGCGTCTGTTGGCACAAAGAAGAATAACATCTGAATTCTTTTGTAACAGCAGGGGGTTTGTGTCAGCCTGGTTTGATTCTTACACATGGTTTAGCCTGGTCTACTTTAGTCTGGTTCTTGGTTTACCTTGTGTGGACTTGCCTTCTGGATTAACACATAGGAAATGTGCATGCGTGCTGCAGGGGCCCGCACCGCGGTACCAAAATGATGCATTGTCCTGTAGAGATTTGGTTGGAGCTGGGTGGTTGTGCAACACAATAACACACTGCAGCTGCCTTATTCAGAACTGTAGAATATTATTCCCCCTATTGGACTTCCATCCTCAGTTGAGTCCCCATAATGTAACCGTAGGGACACACATTAAAGTACATTCATCCTGTGAAATACAGTAAGCATGTATGTGTACTTGATATGGGGCCTCGCCTCCAATCAGGAACAAAAACAGGTCTCCATAAACCGTCACATGTTAGGGTTAAGAGATGGTTTTAGGCAGGTTTAGTTAAAGTACATGTTAGGGTTTGGATAAGAGTCTCTAGAAAATGAATGTAAGTCAATACAATGTCCTCACAGTAAACACAGGTGTGGTGACATTGTGGGGATGTACACTGTACAAGACGTACACTGACATTACCAGGACAAAGCACAGGTCCCCACAAGGTGAACCGTCCTGTTTTAATTTCACCTGCCTGGTTATAGGCAGGTGAAATTTAGATTAGGGCTGGGGGTACAGATGTTGTGTTAAGTGTACAGGTTACGGTCATTCAAATGAGACAGACAAGTTTTTCTGCAGGTGTTTGTGGAGCTGAACGAGCTGGTGATCGACAGGAACCAGGAGCTGCAGTGGAGGGAAACTGCTCGATGGATCAAGTTTGAGGAGGAGGTGGAGGAAGAGACGGAGCGCTGGGGAAGGCCTCACATCGCCTCCCTCTCCTTCCGCTCCCTACTGGAGCTCCGGAAAACCATCTCCCATGGTGAGGAGGAGGAGCAGGGTGAGGTGGAGATGTACTGCTGCCATCCAGTGGAAAAACACTGACACTGCATATGAACATATTGCTGCTGAAAGGCTTCAGGACTTTCCCTTAGTTTCCACATGAATATAAAATATTTAACAAATCCATGGTTTTGCTTTGCTTTAGGCTCTGAAATATTTTCAGCCACTAATTATTAATATTTTAATTTCATTCTCATTCACTCTTCAGATATTTGATGGGTTTATTTGGACAAATTAATGGAAACATTCATGGACTGGAACATATAAAGGGATTTTAAAGGGTAAATTGGCAAAAAACATGGCAGTTACTCCTTCATTTGTAAGGACTTTATATTTTCAACTTAAGTGCAAATTCAGGGGCTCACTGCTAATCCGAGGACTGCCCTACTTGTCTTATTTCATGGGAGCTGCAGTTTTGTCTGTGCTCACACAGTAAATGTTGTTTTAACTTTGACAAAATCACAAAAGGTTTACATTTCCTACAGCCTGCGCTGTGGTGGACAATGACTTGAGTGAGAACATGGAAAGGTAGCCTCAGGAACACGCTCCTGTTTTCCGTAACGACAGAAAGAAATGCTGACTGCGAGACCCCAGGCAAACACAGGCTAGCCCAGACGTGACGTCATGACTTCTGCTCTCGATGATGTCATAGTGATGTCATGTGGTTGTGTTTCCAGGGGCGGTGCTCCTGGATCTGAAGCAGAGGACTCTGCCCGGGATCGCCCAGCAGGTGGTGGAGCAGATGGTGATCTCAGATCAGATCAAAGCTGAAGACCGAGCCAACGTCCTCAGAGCCCTGTTGCTCCGACACAGGTTTATGCCAAACCATATCTGTCTTTCAGTCCAGCTGTGCATCCTTACATCCATGTATTATCCTTCCAATGGGTCTTCCACCCACTGCTTTTATTTTTTCATAAACACATCCTATATCATTTCATCAGTCACCCCAGTGATGAGAAAGATCACAGTTTGTTCAGCAAGAACATCTCTGCAGCCAACATAGCCACCCTGATGGATAGACACAACAGCCAATCAGAGCCCTGCAACAACACGGCCAATCACAGAGAGGCTGATGGAGAGAAGGACAAGGTAAAAAGAGGGAGAGGAGCAGTCCACAGATAAGAGCTGTTCTCCTGCTGTAGGAGAACAGCTAGTCAGAGGGGGATATGACAACAAGGGAAGCTGTCATTAGCACATTAGTTTCCTTACTGAGTGATGTGACTTATAGTGTTGTCATGATTTCTGTTTCTTGTGTTTTGATGCCACTGTAACAACTATTTTAAACTTCCAGTTAGCGCTGGGTATCGAACCTTGAAACTTTTATGGCATCGATCGAATTACTTCAATACCACCGAGTATCGAAAAATGCTTTTCTACATTTTTATTTATTGATGTTAATGTAAACTGAACTTAAGGTTGTGGTAAATAACTTTACCTTTTAAGTTATGAAACTGCTTTGAGTGCACAGAAATGCCAAAGGAATTGGAAAGTAACATAATAAGTGGGCTTATACTTGTATAGCGCTTTCACACTACTTCTGTTGCTCACTTATTATTAAAACTAATGAGCTGTACCAAAATGTGTAATGTATGTGCATTTTTTTGTTAAAGTTGATCTTATAAAACTGGTATAAAAAAAGTATCATTTAGGAACCGGTATCCAAGTAAAGGTATCAGTATCAAAACCTTTGGAGTGATACCTAGACCTGCTTCTAGTGCATTAACTGTGAAGGCTACCAGGTGTAAACAATCCCTGAACACTGTTTCAGCCTTGGCAGTGACCGGGGGAGGTTCTAGCCAACCGGTGTTCTGTTGAGTTCTGCACAGACCCACAAGCAAACTGACTGCAAAACTCAACAAGGCAGCAGAATTCATCAGAACACTGGCACAACTACATAAAGACTTGTAATTCATCCTCACTCCTTGTTCTACCTAAGAGCGCCTGAAGAACAGGTTAGGATTTATGACTCTGTTTAGCCCTGTGTCCAGAGAGAAGCCCTCTGTCACTCCAGATGCAAACATGGGGTGAAGTTGATGGAGAAGATCCCAGAGAGAGCCGAGGCCACCGTCGTCCTCGTAGGTACGCATCACTTATGGTGTGCTATGTACATGACATAAAAACATCACCTCCTTCATTCGTGTGTGGACCTATAGAGCAGCAGGCTCAGTGGGTTCACTGCGTCCCTCTGCTGTGCTGCAGGCAGTGTGGGCTTCCTGGACCAGCCTTCCATGGCATTTGTGCGGCTGCAGGAGGCCGTCCTGCTAGAGTCTGTCCTGGAGGTTCCTGTCCCTGTGAGGTTCCTCTTCCTCCTGCTGGGCCCACCCACTGCCAATCTCGACTACCACCAGATTGGACGCTCCATCTCTACACTCATGTCAGACAAGGTGAGTGCCTGCAGAGTTAACTCATTTTCTTGGATGTGACCACCAGTGTACTCATCACTCAGTATTCTGAAACTGCTCTGCTGCTGTGAACCCATGTAATGTTGTTGGGTAATGAATTCCACCTCCGTCTGCTCCCGCAGCACTTCCACGAGGCGGCGTATCAGGCTGACGACCGTCAGGACCTGCTGACGGCCATAAACCACTTCTTGGACTGCAGTGTTGTCCTCCCACCCTCAGAGGTTGGTGGGGAGGAGCTGCTGCACTCGGTCAGTCGTTTCCAGCAAGAAATCCTCCGAAAGAGAGAGGAGGAGCAGAGCGGCAAACTGCAGGAGAAACAGACCAGCCTTCAGCAGG